AAGTCACTCCTGCAAAGAAAACCTACCAAAGAGAAAACCATCCAAAGGAAAGCAAGTGCAGCACTGTGACAGCTTCTTGCCAAAACTCTTTCAAACCAGTGCTCCTGCCATTAAAAAAAACCCTTCACAACTTCTAAACTTAACTGAAAAAGTCCTTCCAAAAAATGAGACTCTGTCCTTCCACAGATCCACCCTTAGCTGAGACAGGAGTGCTACATACACTGTGCTCATCCCCATGTGCCCCTCACTCTGACAGCTCAACGAGCTGCCAAGGGCACCACAGCACATTCCAGAGCTCCAGTGGTTAACCACAACAGCCTGGGCAAAAGCAGCTCTTCTGGATCACTGCAGATCTGCCCTTCTCTAGGTCTGTTACTGCATGAGGCAGGATCCAGTTGCTCCCGCTCACCTTTTCCACATCATCAACAGGGAAAGACTAAGCTGAGAACAACCGCTTAGCAAAACCACAGGATCTCCTGATGAGGCAAGTCATCAGAACAACACAGGACAAAAGGAGGTAGCACGTTCATATTGTACCAGGTCTTGCCATATGTCACTTTATCAGTGCTACAGCTTATCCAAAAGACACAAGAACTGACTGATTTAGATGTTACACTAAAGACATGCTGTAGTGTTAATGTTTCCAAAAGCTATTGGTTTTGATGTCATGATAAACAGCACATACTGTGAGGACATAAGCATGAGAAATTCAGTAATGAGTTGAAAAAGAGCTGGGGAACAGGAAGGTCCCAAGGCTAGTGGGAGGAAAAAGTGACATCACTCACCCTCCTGTGGATGCCACTTTGAAGGAGACCAGATATCTCAGGAGAAGCCCCACAGTGGTGACCTCCTTGGGCAAAGCCCAGGCTTTCAGGAGCTGGCACCTGGGACAGAAATGGCAGCAGCAGTGGGTGACGGAGCAGAGCAACAAACCTCCTGCAAATTATGTGCAGCAACTAGTTTGTCTTTAACCATAACCTGTGCTGAAAACTAAAGGGGTGCCGCTAACGTCATGAACATGAATCACCTCTGAACTCAGCCAAGCAAATCTGCCTGCAGAAGAGGAGGCAGCTTTGTGTTGACTGTCAGTGCTGATGTCTATCTTACAGGAGTCCAGGCTTCTAAGGAAAAGGTGCTTCAAATGTGGACTAGTAGCCTGTCAAATTCCCAAAGAGCATCTAAGGACTGGCCTGGTTTAACTTTCCTTGCTCTATAAAGGGCTTACGATGGGACCAGCAACAAGCAGCAGGAGAACTGGAGAGGATGTTGCTCTGAAAATTTAAAAGAGCAGGTGAATTATTATTTGAACTGTTGTGTGCCTTTCAAAAAGAACATTTCCCCTCCCCACCCGCCAAATAAACTCACCAAACACCCCAGGCCATGGGAGCCTTGCTATAGCCTCAGGTTGTAATCAGAGGGAAGACAAATTTCTTTCCTCAGATAGAGAGATAATGATAATAAATCTGAATGAAAGGGAGCACACCAGACCTTGCCTTACTAATGGAGAGAACGATACTGCAGCTGGAGGGCATTACTGCCCTGACCTAGGGGAAAAAAACTCCTGTTCCTGGCTTCTGGTTCAAGAGCAGGATGTCAGCAGCAGGCACTGGCTCAGGAGTCAGTTGTTGGCTGTAATTACAGCCTCCCTCCCTCCTGGCAGCTGTTTGGGTGTGCAGCCCGACCCAGAGTGTCCAGTGCAGGCCCACAGGTGACTCCATGCAGCTCTGCCCTGTGCTCCAGCCATCCTGCACCTGTGCCAAGGTCTCACTTTATTCATCTGCAGGGGAAGGGCAGGGCCTGTATTTTTCCTCTGTTCTAGAGTTTAAAATAATTGATAATGCTGTAAAGTAGAATTGCTTACAGCACTTCTTTCCTTGTCCCTCAGTCCTGTGGATGAAATTAGGCATAGCTTTTGCTCCATGTCTCCCTGAAAAACTATCACAAAGGATTCTCCTTCAGCACCAAAAGCAGAGGAGCTCTGCCAGGCTGATGCCACAGCAAGAGATGGCACAAGACAGAAAGCCTGCTCGGATCAGTGTGGGGTTCCTACCTACTCTGACGCTGTGTGTCTTTCTGGCACTTTGTCTAAAATTCATTTAATTCGCCAATGGCATTTTAGGATTTCCTACATGTGCTAAATTGTAATAAATGACATCCGCTGATGGCAAAGAGGATTATGGAGGGTAGGGCTGCCTGAGACAGCCAAAATCCACTGGAGATTGAAAAGGTGTGAGCAGTAAATAAAAGGAAATCCTGGATCACCGTATAGTGTTCAGCTCCCACACTCTGACCTCCTCTGGTCCCTTCTATATTTTGTTAAGATCGTATTTCTTTATGTGCTGCCTGGCTTAAAAGCCATCATAAATCTGTGGCGTGCAGTAAGAATAACAGGGAAGGCACCGTGTAATACAAGGGGCTCTAATTCCATCCCAGGCACTCAGAGGGAGCTGTAAATCAGTGTGGAGAAGCTTTAGACGGGAGCAGTGGGGCCGAGGCTGGGAAGGCAGCCACAGCCTGGCCCCATCCGCCCTGGGGCTGAGCCCACCTTCCTCACGGGGAGGGGAACAGCCTGCCTTCCCCTCTGTGCTGCAGGGAAGGGGCTCACCCTGCCCCACAGCCCAGGCCCTCTGCCCTGGCCCTCCTGGGCTCCAATTCTCTCCCTCCCTCTGCCATCAGGGGACCTAAACTAAGGAGAATCTCTAAGTATCCAGTGAGTAACATATCCTCCGTGTTGCTGGTGCTGAAAAGCATGGTCTGCTGCCAATCCAGAGCACAAAAAAACCACCAAAAAAGAGTTCTTACAGTTCTTCAGCCTTGAACAGTGACAAAACTACTTTAAGTGCTTTTTGAGAAAAAGTGCACCTACCTACCTTTGGGATGAGCCACACAGTTCGTGTATCACGGCTTGGAGCACAGCCCAGGCGTCGCTCACGTCGAGGTGTTTGCTTCCCCGGCATCACCTGTAAAAACCAAGTCACCCTGCTCGGCCCACACGTGGCCAAACCACGGCTGCTCTCCCAGCTGCAGCCCCAAGGAGCTGGGGCAGGACCAGCCCTCCCAGAGCCGCCTGTCATTTGGTACGATGGGGAAATAAAATGTGAACCACTGAATCCTGGGCCATCAATCATTTCATTTTACCCATGGTAAATAGGAGAAAAAGGGAGAGAAAAAGAAAATACAACCAAAGTTGTGAACATGTTGAAGCTTCAGGGGAAATAAGTTCCTATGTGGTAACCATGGGTATCCTATGCTGAACCTCAGCAGAGGTCACCACAACAAGCCAGCAAGCCAAACCCAAATAAAAATAGGACCTATGGGATTGCCCATCTGACTTTCACAGTCACTGCTGCAACACCATTTGTCAAGCTGGCAGGGTAGTTTTTTACCAGATGTGAGAGAGACAGTACCAAACCCAGGCTGAAGCCAGAGAGAAGAGCGTGGATGCTTCCACAAGGGACTAACCTGCCCAGGAAGGTCTGTAAAGTCCAGCATTCCACTGAAACCTCCCAGATCCCCCAGTGCTGCAAACCGTGCTTTAACAGTCCCACGAGTGAGATGGTTTTGTCATCAAAAGCGAGATGTTCGAAGGACCTGTCTTGCTGTGTAAAGGAAGGGTTAAACTGCCTTTTCTGGTATCCTTTGCATGTGGGAGAACAACTTCTGTGTGTGCAACCAAACCCATCACCCTTGCTGTTATGTGCCCCTTCTCCCGCAGATTTTTGGTGAAAGTTCATGTTCTCAAAATATCTTTAATGGACCCAACATTTTCTGTCCATGGATTTCCAGGTGCAATTTGTGCCTCTTAGATAGCAGAGAATTCTCTTTGGGGGTCATTAAAAGTCATGAAATGAGCCTGCTTATGAGAAACTAAGGGACCAGTCTGGTTTTTGGTTTTTTAGTTCTCATTCTTAATTTTCACTGCAACATAAAGCCTACCTGCTGAAGAAGTCACGTGACTCGTCTGGCACTATCTGTAAAACACTGTAAGATTCCTGAGGGAGAGGGAAGTTGAACAAAACCAATGCATTGCTAGTAAAATTTGTTGCACTTAGATGTCAAGGAAATACAAACATTCATTCCATTCAAATGAATCAGAAACAGAACAGATTGAGAGCAGACAAACTTTGAAATACTTAAAAATTCTTTAATTTAATTTTTCATGATGAAGACTTTTAAAAGGACAATTATTTTGCAGGCAGTTACTAAAAATCTACATTTAGAATCTAAATGTAGAGCAATCAGTGACAGGATAACAACAACTGTATCTAGACTTACTTTACTGTCTCAGAAGTACATCTCAGTATATTTTAGCTCTCATTTCTCTGTGAATTAAGACACTGGTGTTGTTATGCTGCTTATCAGGGAAGGCAGTAGGTTGTATAGTTATCTCCTGATTGGGGCAAAATCACTACCCTGAAACCACACAACCTACTACCTCATCCTGTTAGAGCATCATGCACATCTTCTGAAGGAAACCAACATTTCACCATTTGCACACCCATTCTATCCCACACACCTCTGTAACTGTGGCCTGCTGACCCTTCCTCACAGTTCTGCTGGAAGCCAGTCAGAACGGGTGAGGTGACTCCAGAGACATCACAACTGCAGCAGCAAACACTGTCCCTCCCAAATTAGCAATGTGTAATAAAAAGCAAGTGAAATCAGCATCCCAAACTGATTAAAGAGATCTCTCACTCATGGCTCAAGCATTTACCAGTTCCAGGGCAAAACAGGAGCGACTAGAAGATATCCTCTTTGGTTTTTGTCCAGCTCAGCCCTTTGCAGTTTCTCAGACAGCCTACACCAAGTGGATTTAAACAGCTGCTGAATCCAAAGTGGCATTTTCTGTTGACCATGGACACAAATGGCAGAAGGTAAAGGAGAAGCTGTTTCCAGAGGGTCTCTCTCACGGCAGCGCAGGAACGCTGGGCGTGAGCAGGTCCACTGCAGACGGGGAAAAGGGCTCAGGGACGGGGCTGTACCTCTCTGTCCTGTCACTCACACCCCACCTGCTCTGAGAAAACCACAGGAAGGAAATGGCTTTGGGGCCTGAATGGGAAATAGAGGAATCGAAACTCTGTAAGGACATGTGTGTACAAGAGCCAAATGCAAGGTACAGACAGAGCCAGAGAATGTTACAGTTGCAAAATCTCAGTGTTGTCTTTCAAAGGCACATCCAGCGCTGGTATCACAGCCACTTCAGGAAAGACAGTAGATTGTATAGTTATGTGACAGGCAGGGCATAGCCCTAAAACTATACAACCTACTACCTCACCCCAAAGGACAGTCACACTCTGATCAGATGAAGCACAAGCTGTATTCCCAGACAGCTGGATTGCTTGGTGACAACCTAGAAGACAAAAAGCTCTGGAGACAAAGATTAGCAGTCTTGAATTTGAAGCAGTTTGCTATATACCAGACAACATTCTGCTTAATGAGCTCTAGTTTCATGTTTGAAATGTTTAATAGATTTGCAACTTGTGAAGTCATGTCAGTGACAAGATACACAAGGGAAAGAGGATACAGCATTCATTTTTAATAACTGCACTTGTGTACTTCCAACTCTGACACAACTGTATCCTATCAAACCAGTCTGTCACTTTGGGAAAAGGCACTGCTATGACTCAGAGAGAGGATACTGACTTAGAGGGATCGTACAGCATGCTCCTAGATAGTCCTCTATTATCCTAATGGGGAAGAGCTGAGGCTCTCTAACTGAATTTCCCAAGTCCCACAGGAGTAAATCCCTAAGACTGAACAAAGGATTTCTCAAGACTGTGAGGAACTGTTGTGGCCTACTCAAACACCACACTAGTCCTCACTGAGCATAACCCAGCTCTGCATTGAGCACCAGACCAACAGACCCTGGTGTACCACACACACCTTGCTCAGGGGGATCAGCAGAGCTGCCACCACAGCACCAACTACTGTCACCTCAAACCTGGGCTGCAGTTTGAGGGGGTTGTTATTCCCCACCACATGGTTTGATGGACAACACTTCACATTCAGGGCAGATCTAAAGAAGTGGAAATCTGAGGAATCAGTCAGTATTGTAAATACTGCTTAAATAAATAAGTAAACCTTTAAAGTAAAAGGCATCATATAACAATCAGCTAACTACCCTTCTGCTAAGTCAACTAAAGAACACAATAACTGATGCACCCACCAGCCCCATGCAGAGAAAGGAAAGCTCTGTTTCACTAGGAAGCAGATCTTACCCTGAAGGTCACACTGCAGGGGGATTGAAGCCATCTGCCCTGGCTTTCAGCATCACTGATGTGGGGACCTGAAAAGAGAGGAGCAAGACAAAACACACCCATCTCAGTGGCATTTCACTGCACACTGAAACGATTACAAGGTGGGAAAAGCCGAGAGCAGCTTCCTTCTCGAGGAGAACCACACACAGCACCAGCTTTCCCAGTCACTTCTACTGCCACAATTCCACTACGGCCCAGGGGAGGACCCTGACTCAAAAGAGACAGGCAAGAGGAAAGCAGAGTGAAAAGAACAGTTTTTTTTGGATTGACTTGAGTGTTAAGGATACACACTGTAATATTCTTTGCAGACCACACTGAAGGAACAGCTTCAGAGATTTCAATATCTCACCCATGTCAACTGTGCAAGACTGGTGGCAGAAGCTGCTCCCTGACCACTGTCAAAGAAATCCTTTGGGAAAGCTCTCCAGCAGAAAGCCTGATAGTCTTCTCTATGTACTGAAGGGGTTTAAAGTCAATTGCTCTCGGAATAATCCTCTGAAAAACACCCTACCCCGTGCCTCTGGTTCTTAGATAAAATATTTAACAATAAACATCCTCTTTGTGCATGCAGTCAGAGATCTCAGTATTCTTCCTAAGAGCCAAGAACTTGCATTGGAGCTTTGGCTAAAATTCTGTGCCATTTCAGCAACCCGTGAGTTGTGCAGTCACCTCTCAGAAAGTGCTTTCTGTGTAAAATAAACCCTATGCTTATATCAACAGAACCATATTACATAATATAATTGGAGGAAAGCTGTGTATTGTGTGATTGACTTCAAAGTGACACTTCTGTAAGCATTTACTTTGAAGTGGAAGGATTAAAACAACATAACTTTTCAGAGTAGCAACTCTTTATGCTGGATGGTACAGTGAAACCAGTTCAAAGGACCAGTCTGGCACTAAAAGGATGATTCACAGTAGTGAAAAGCCCAAACTACCCCACAGACCCAACCAACTCCAACAACAGGGAATTTTGGATGAAGGACCTACACTTACAGCTGATTCCAGGGACTCCAAGAGACAGAAAGATAGATCCAAACAATGACAAGCTTCTGGAAACCCTGAGTATGTTCCAGGGATTTTGCTGCCTGTCTTTAATATATCTGGACTTCACTTTCAGTTTCAGGTGCAGTGCTAGGTGAGAGAGCAAAAAATATTCACCCCTGTTGAAAAGAAGGTGAACTTTTATTAACCATTTCTAAAGGATGCTCTTATTTGCTGTGATAATGATCTTAAAGATTCTTTTCTCTAGGTGCAGCTGATGTAATGTTGCCTTAATATATATTTTCCCACAAAAATAGTAGTTTGTTAATTCGTAAAGATATTGAGATAATTATTTGTAAAGTACCATAAACTCTGTGTAATACTATTTTCTGTAAGGTCTGTTATTATGGGTATTAGTAATACTCATTAGCAGACAAAACCAGAAAAGAATGTGTTTTATCCAACACCTAAAATTAATTAGTCTTCTGCTCTCACATGCTGCTCATAAACTTATTTTAATTGACTTAGATCACCAAACAAGGATGAACTTTAAAATACTTAATGAAAGAAAACTGCATGTTCATTTTCCTTCTATGAAGACGACAGGCACAAGAAATAACTATCTGGCAAGAGTTATGTTTCTAGTTTAACAACTGTTTAATACTAGGAAAAATATGACATTTCCATATTCCAACTCTCACTGCTCACTGAAAAATGTCTTGGAACTGATGTTAATAAGTACCTCGGCAGTCACTTTTAAAAAGGCACAGGGCCAACCAAGCCTGGTATTTCTGTGATGTTATAGGGAAGCAGACAGTTTTAAAGCAGGGTTGTTATATAATTAAAAGCCTTACTAATGAACAGGCTCTTGGACAGCACAGAAGAACCATTTTGCGATCTCTGAGCACCTTCCATTCAAAGGCTCCGGAGGATTTCCAAGGGCTGAGTGTCCCTGGGCTCCCAGGAGGAAGGGGAATGCTGTGTGCTCTCGAGGGCACTGTGATTCCACAGAGGGGAGAAAAGGGCCTGGAGCCCCTCTAGGGTGGGGACATTGCCCAGCAAGGTGTGAGGCTGGACGCAGGACAGGTCAGAGCTATCCAGGCCCTCTCCATGGAACAATTATCTTGGCTTCCCAAGTGGTGCAGTCAGCACTCTGCTCCCACAGATTGAAAACGTCACTGTGGGGCCTGAGCATCTGCTGTGGTGGGTGCTGCAGCCAAGGGGAGCTTTGACAAATTCAACAGGGCCTGGATCAGGCAGCAAACTGAACTGCCACATCTTTCTTCCTGGGCAGGACTGTGCCAGAGCAGTATCATGGCAGGTAACTTCCCTGGACATGGGAAGGATTCAGTTTCCTTGGATCTGTGTATGACAAACTCCACACACAGTGTTTTAAAATATATTTGTAGCTGAATATAACAAAAATGACACACTGCCTTGCATCTTCAAGAAGTAAAAAATATTCTACAAACACTCATGTTGTGACACCTGTGAAGTACAACATGTATTGTGGTCTTACCCCTTACTTAAATATAGCTGTTCCTAAAATGGCAAACAACAGCTCTTTGCCCAGTTGTGAAACTTTCCTGTAATTAAATGATACAGGACAGATTCTGCCAGAACTTCAGGCAGGCACAATGGGAAAAACTCCCAGGACTGAGCCTGCACAGCCTCCTGCTCCATTCTGTGGAGGTGCACAGGACTTGCTCCAGGTTGGCTCGGGGCTGGGTGTACATCAAATGTGTTCTGCACCATCACAGACACGTTCTATATGGCTGTGCTGGGCATTCCATGGCCCTGCTGCTGTGAATTGCCTTGGAAGTTAAACAGATGCTTCAAAATGGGATGCATTAGGGAAAAGACAGTTTTCCATCAAAAATACATCTCATTTTTCTTGGATGTGGGATCATGTCTTCTGCTTATGCAAACTGCAGTATCTACACGGACAAAACCGTTATTTTTCTATTGCACTCATTTCTGCTATTTTTGCTTATGTACTACTCTGAATGCTGAAAAAGCCATAAAAGCTGGTATTTCAGAGGATGATGAAACACTCAATACCTCAAAGCTTCCCCTAACACAGAAATTACACCAGGGCTAAGCACTGGCTGCTCTGTAGGTCACACTTGTGTTCCTAAGCAAATAAACATTTCAGGAGATACATAAAAATAAACTCCAAAAGTTTATTACTCACTGCATCCCTGAGGTCTCCAAGGCAGAGGTGAGGACCACCAGATCCTAATGCCCAGAAATCAGGGTGAGGCCACAGTCCAGAGGAGATGAAACCTGTGAGCAAATGGAGAATCCACCGGTAAGTGAGGTGCATCTTGTGAAAAGCAAATGTTACAGGTACTCTTGATATCTTCCCATGTGTAAAAGCAAGAATGCAAGGGTTGGATTACCTGGGAGATGAGCCCAGTAAGAGAAGGCGAAGCTGTGACAAATCAGGGATTTTTTTTGTTAGGGAAGGAGCAAAGAGAATGTGTCAGTTCTATTTTCTCTTGGCAGTCAGAGACAGGAAGAAGACAAGGGGCATAGAACACCTCTCAGAGTAAGCATGTGCCACACATTCATCAGTTATCTCCCCGCTCTCAAGAGGATTGTATTAACGCAGATCACACTCCAATGAAATATTAATCACGACCCCCCCACATACTCCCTCATTTCAGGATGCTGAGCAATGGCCCATATTTTTGAAAGAGTTGGACCTGCCTAACTCAGGGTTTGCCTGACATCTCTGAACACAAAGCTGGACACTTCAACGAAGCACCCTTATCTTTGACTTGATATGCAGTGTCCAGCTCTTCCAAACTGCACCTTTCCCACATCCCCTCAAACCCCAGGAAAATAAAAAGCTGGGCACAGTCACTGATGCAGAGAGCAGGCACGACCACAGTCATCCAGCCTCTCCAGCTAAATACTCAGACATCTCACAAGCAATACTTGAGTAATGTTTTTAATTATTTTTGGATGGAAACCCCCTTTACTATATAGAGAATCTTAAATAAGCCATCTGAATTTTAAGGCAACCAGATTTCACTTTTTAGTATGTGCAATTCATACGGTGTCACACCTAGCCTATGTGACACCTCTGAGGAAGTGTTATTTATTTCAGTTCCTGACAGAAACCAGTAACTAGAGTCACATCTCCTTTAAAAAACACCATTCCCAATCTCAACACACTAATTCCTTGAAAATTTTCTTTAAAAAGACATGCAATAAACTAGTATGTGCAAGTTCAAACTTAATTAAGCCCCAAGAAGGAATGTCTGTCAGGGTAAGCCTCAACAAGAAACTAAAATTCATTTTGCAGAATGCAGCTGTGCCAATAACTATAGTTGGTAGAAAAATGTCTTCTGGCCCTTGCCCCATAAGGCTTCCATTTCCAATGTCAGCCTTTAGTGACAGGGAGCAGCTGACAAGTAGGAGCAAGTGAATTGGTAGTCTGGGAGCCAGGATTAGACCAAAGCTCTGAATGACCTAGAGTTCCACGGATTTTGCCTAAAGTTCTGTATTTACACTAATGCACACTTACATTTGCCATCACCACAAACAGGGTGAAGCACTCAAGTGCTAACGAAGAACAAGCTTTGTATGATGGCAGACAAGCAGAATCCGTCCTTCACAAACTCCATTTGTCACAATCACTTTAGACCCGCAGCATGGGAAATTGTGGATACCATTCTATGGAAAGCTGGCATGAAATCACCAATCTGTGTAGTATGTTTGTTTTGAAATATTGTTACAAGCTTAAAATCCATTTCCATTGCAGAACAACATTCTGGGGTTTGGACTGCATTTGGGCTCAAGCCAGTGGGCTTCGTTCAATCTGTCAATCCATTAGCAGAGGCCTGATGTTCACATACATGAACCCAGAGAAGGCATTCCTACAGGCATTGCAAACCCAAACTGCAGCAGCCTGCTTGTTTCTGGTGACTTCACAGACACACAGCACTGCCCCTCCCGGCCCCTCCACACACCCTGCTGTCCCACCAGACACACAGCACTGCCCC